ACAATGACACAGAGAATGCATGATGTAATCAAAGCTAAAGGCGGTCCAGTGAAATATTAGTGTATGACCTTTTTTTTTGGTGGCGACTTCTTTGGGCCAGGCAGTGTAGAAGACTACAGAGCAATCGGATCACATCCAGCTTCCTTCTTTGTGGAGATCAGAGTCTGATCAATGTTTCTTGCTGAGCAGGATCAAATCATTTTAAGGCCACAAACGGTCCAACGTTGATTCCTGGTTAGACTCAGCCTTATAAAGAAAGGTAATCAGCTGTCATGGGACACAAGCTGGGAATTTACTGGCACCAACCGCTCACTGCACCTGCAGTAATGGAAGTGAGAGAGAGAGGAATCCTAACAGTACCTTGTTGCTTCTGCTAAACAATTTTATTTTTAAACTAGACTTTGGAAGTTCTGAAAACCAAAAATTCTCAAAGGCAGACAACAAAAGAAGTAAATTAGTTTATTTACACGTGGTGCCAAATAAACAGGGTAGAGAGAATTGCGATGTCTTTCAGGCTCCGAGAAGGTTGGAGGATTCCAGGATAGTACTTCCAGGTTGGTAAGTACTAGTTCACACAGGAGAGTCACAGGTCAGACCAGGGGTGGCGTCGCAAAAGTCGATAATGTCCACATCACTAATCCAGGATGAGAAACATGAAAGGTTTGCAGTCCAGACTGAGTGTGAGATGACACAAGAACTGGGATTCAAGAGGATCAGACTCGAGGTACGGGAGGTAAGGAGTCACAGAGTAGTTGCTATGGGTAACCAGTGCACTAACACTGGGTTCTGTGAGACTTCTGCTTAAATGCTGGATTGAGCTCATGAGTCCATCAGCATCTACTGAACTCCACGTGTCCCTCAGGAACTGCAGTGTGTAGAGTTACTGGACTGGGTTTTGGTTTGGCTGGAATGTGGTTTGAGCCTAAAATTTGCAAATTTTATGGAAACAACCAAAGCTCTCTGGTGCCCAGGGAGTAGAAAAGACAAGTAGAGGGAAAATGTGACTCAAACAGAGGTACAGGAAAAAAGTCAAGAAATTATTTATGTGTTGCAGAACGGTACCTTTGAGCACGGTTTGCTGATAAATGAACCGTGTTTGCACATTTTAACATCAGCTGATGTTCTGCAGCAGCCTGAGCTGAGATGAAAACTGGTCCTGTAGAATGCCCATCTTAACTAAATGTGTGTAAAATTATTCTTTAACCAAAAAAAAAAAAAAAATGGCTTCCTGTTCTTCTAAATTTTGTCTAGTCCATTGATGTTGAAGTCACATGTACTCAGGGGGTGAAAGATGGAGAAGGCACTGGCACATCTGTGATTTCTTGAGAAAGAACTGGTCCTGTCTGATCTGAAGAACACCCTACAGGCCATGGCCTTCCTGAGGGCTCTACTTTTTGTTCTCAACATGGACTATCCCAAAGAGCTAAGGTACTCCTGTGAAGTTATTCAGAAGGTTCTGATGATGGTGGAGGACAGTGTTCCTCTCCTGCGAATGGGCTGAGAAACAGACATTAGAGGAAAATCATGCAAGCTCATGCTCAAACATATGAAGATGTGAGGTAAACCCTACTCCAGTTAAAGCTATAGATTGTCAGTTATAGATTATAGATTATTATAGATAGCCAAATTGAGGCAGACAAAATTACATTTTTCCAATTTAATTTCAAAGTCAATAATTCAAGTTCATTATTTGCCATTATTATTTGATATGTATTATGTGTGAGTGCACACACAATAAAATGTGTGTGGGTTACTACCATTAGATTGATTAATAGCACTGGAAAACATTCCTTGTTGTAAGTTCAAGAATCTTTATTCAATTAGTTTCACAGTCAGTAGGCACACACAACATCCATACTATACAAAACATTGACATTAAAAGAACAGCACAGAAATCATTGTTGAGAAGCCGGATCACTACAGGGATGAATGAGTTTTTCAGTCTGTTCATCTGATGCATCAGATGGAAGAAACCTGAACTCACCATGGAGTGGATGATCAGGATCTGCCAGAATCAGCCTGGCCTTGTTCACTGACCTCGCCTTGTGTAGGTCATTGAGGTTCTGTAGAGCTATGCCAGCAGCTACACATCCTGACAATCCCTGAGAGTTTTTGTAAATCAAAATTATCTTAAAAAGTGAAATTGTAGGAAGTTGGAAAAAAACAGGTTCATAACAAAAGAGTATAAACGTTTTTATTGAGTTAATGGTGGCTACTGCATCATTAGTGATGTGTTTGTTTTGTTTTTAATGTACAGCCACTTGTCAGTAATCGAAATTACAATAGTGCATTATTTTTGTTTAGTTTACCACCAAAATTCACATTATGCACGTATTTGTAATATGATTGTGTGTCTGTGTGTACGTGAAGTTTTCTTAATTCACTACATGGCACATTTGGAAATATGCATCTAAAATATGAAATACACTTTGAATAAATAAAGTGTAAAAAACAAGACGTTCACATTGGTTTTAAAAACTAAAGTAAAAACAGAAATATGATTTTTAAATAGTCATATTTATGAAAAGTTAGTACTGATTTATTTTTATTTTCTTTCATAGTTATGATTCATTTCTTCTCTTGAATGTCTTAATTTGGAAACACTTCTGTTTTACGGAAATAAGTCATATGGCTGTAATTATGGTTTGTGAAATGTTGTCCCTCAATTTGCCTGTTGAAAACAGATCCACACTGTATTTTATTTTTACAAGTGGATAAAGGTTTTATTTTTTGTTTTTGATTGTAAATATTGTAATAAAGCTTTCACTGGCTGCAGCATAGCGTTGTTTTATTTCCACTATACAAACTGACACGCTATCGAAGAAGTTAAGTATTTTGTAAAAAAAAAAAAAAAGGTTTAATTCCAGTATTAGAGTTTTCAGTGCATGATTTTATATGAAGAAAGTTGCAAGTTGGAAAAAAATTAATTATATTTGTCAAATAGTTTATCTAAATAAACTAATACAAAGCTTTACACAGCTAAATATTTTAGCGGAACTGAAATAGATTAATAAGTTTAAACAAATGAACTTTTTTATTAAATTGAAAAGTATTTATGAGTTGAAACAACATACCAAAACATGTTTTTGTACTTTATTAATCGCCAATGTGGAAATTCTCTGCATTTTTTACCGTTGCACATGTGAGCACACGTGAAGCAGTGGGCTGCCATCTAGGGCGCTCTGGGGAGCAGCTGGGGGGTTTGCGGTTAAGGGCCCAGAGTGGGGCTAAAGAAGGCGGAGGCAGGTGCGTGTGTTTCACCTTTTACACCCACATTTTTGATGTTGTCTGTCTGGCGACCCTCTGATCACAGGTCCTCCACCCTCTCTAACCTTTATATAACAAGAGTTTAAGTTAATGCTTTTTCACCTGACTTCAAATCTTAAGGCAACCCTTTCCCACAATTTTAAATTGACTCAGCTAGTTTTATTTTACAGTGTAGTCAAACAAAGTCCGGTCCTCTGGACAGATATTAAAAAAAAAGTTGAAACTTTTCGTTTTTTATCCAAAAGAGTTCTCCAGTCTGAGGAGCTGAAATAAACTCAGTCTTATGAATAACACCTTCTCATAGTGGATCAACCAGTTTGCTGCAGACATCTTGAACTAGCTGTTCACATGATGAAGGAGGAACATCAGCCTAACAATTGGTCATTGATGGTGCCTCATAACTGGTTGTAACTACTGTACCCATCACTGCACCCTGTATTCACTGGTTAACTGGTCACCATTAACTTCACGCAGACTCTCTCACTGGTACATTTTCATCTTTAAATCACTTCTTGGTCTGCTGCCTTCATACATCTCCAACTACATGTCACTGCGTGAGTGCAGCTACAGCGTGCGCTCTCAAGACATCATTACCTGCAGTGTTCCCTCAGTGCGGACTGAATTCGGCAAAAGGGCCTTCTCCTACTCTGCTCCTGGAACACCTGGCAAAAAGATCTGAAGCTCTCGACCTTGACCTGTAAGTGATTTTAAACAACTGTTAAGTTCATTCCAAAAACCACAGACACGTTCCTGTTTTTAGTATTTTATCCGGTTTTATAATGTAGCTGCTTTTATTTCATTTTACATCACCACTTTTATTTACTTTTCTTTTTATATGCTTTTTTTATGGCTGTTTGTTGTTGCGTGAATTATGAACACTTCTGCCTGTGATGTGAGAGTTCCTCTGTTGCTGATCATGAAATCTGCTACATTCACGTTTTCCCCTCCCTGATCATACTGTGCTAGATGGGAGTCCATACTGTTCAACACTGACGTGAAACTCTGTATGGGTCCCAAACTCTGCAACAACCTGCCCCCCCAACATTAGACAGGTCACCTCCCTTCCTGTGTTCAAATCTGTTAAAAACGCATCTGTTTTCTCTGGCATTTTAAACAGGGTGAGTTGATTCAGTATTTTTTGTTCTGTGTTCCTACGTTTTTAATGCTTTTAATTAATTTTTCAGTATTAGCATTAGTGTGTGTGTGTTTTTCTCATTATTTTACTCTCATTGATGTTACTGTTAAGCACTTTGATAACAGCTTCTGTTTTAAACATGCTCTATGAATAAAGTTGACTTGACTATTGTTGCCAGCAACAGTCAGATATTTAATCTGCTTTATCCATCCACCCCTGTTCCAATTTATTTACCACACACTCTGGGGGAGCTTCTATATCCCTAGCTTGACTTAAAATATCTAACCAGTTCACGAGAGAGCAAAAGGTCCTGCATGGAGGGAGCTGCCATGTATGAACTAATTTCAGACTGAATCAGTGAATTTCACATGATCAGCATGAGCAGCAACAGCTGTACCCACTGTTCCACTGTGCCACCCTCAAAAAACTCCATTGAAAATATTTATTTAACCTAAAGTAAACAGTAAAATAAAATTCTGAAGTTATATGAGCTGAATTATTTAAACTTCTCTGAATGCGTTGAAGGCCCTAAGCACCCCGGAACTATTTTTCAGTACATGTTTCTGTCCCAGTCGGATTCAGTGTAACTCGCGCACATGCGCTGTTGAAAACTAAAAAAAACAAACGTCACAGATACGGCGGTTTCACCAGTTTTTGTGCCATTTTAAATAAATCCTACACGGTTTTTAATAACCTCACGGTGTATATCTGTACACCATGGAGACTATTTTAGAACAACAACGTCGCTATCACGAAGAGAAAGAGCGGCTTATGGACGCTAAAACCAAAGAAATGCTGCACAAGAAGTCCACGGTAAGCTGCGGGGCTGTAGCTCAGCATTAGCATTAAGCTAATCGTGCATTTTCAAACTAACGCAGTTATTAACGTTTAAAATACTTTTTTTTTCTGACTCTTTTTCCAGCTGCGGGATCAAATTAATTCTGACCATCGAATAAGAGCCATGTTGGATGTGAGTATCTTCTAGTTTGATGTGAGCAGAACGTCAGCCTAAGTTTTAGTTGGGTTTTTGTTCTCACAATTTTTATGTGGAACTGCTTTTACTATTCTGTGCTGCGACTAGCTGTTGATGTTTTTATGTATTGCACTTCAGAATCCTTTTAGGTTTAATTGTGCAATGAACAGTTCTTTATTCTAAATGTCTTAAATGTTTTGATCATCTCCTTGTTTTTGTTTTTTTGGCTTAATGCAGGGAATTGATTTGTCCGTTTCTGAAACAATTACATCAGAAAGAGAACAGACCCAATATTTTCAAGTTTCATCTTTTGCAGTTATTTTATTATTTTTAACCAGGCAAATCTCAGAGTTCACATATCTTTTCTGTCAGGGCATCCTGGGCCTGAAGGCAGCCTAACATGTATGTTTTTTGTAGTTAACTCTTCTAAAATTGTGGTTTACAGCTGATAACTCGGACTAAGTCAGATTAGCAAAATGTGGGAGACAGTACAGCCATATACAGACTTCTCAATAAGTTTTGAGTAGGAGGCTGGAGTCATTTCCCAACATCAACACATACCGTCATTGCCAGTCTATAGAATGCACCTGACTAAGCCACGCATACTAAATTTAATAAACCATGGTTGTTCTCAATTCAATATCAGAATCTGTACAAAAGCTCCTGGCAGTATGTGCAGCTCTTGTTATATCTAAAAAAGTTAAATCTGGTCCTCTGGACATTCAAAAAAA